GTCCTAAGTATAAGTAATTGAGAGCGTTGTTCTACACGGCTCTGAGCGAAATGGATGAATATTCCTTTTTGAAGATTGCAATGTATTACAGATTATAAAGTCTTTATATAAATCATATTTATGATTAGTGTTGAAACTTTCCACTTACTTAAAATCACCGCACGCAAACTTGGCCTCGGCAAGAGAGAATGCTGCATCTTTCATAACCTCACCCATCAAAACTTTAGTCTATTAAAAAAAAAAATCAATGTTCCATAAAATACTGATCAAAGATTCATTGAGGTGTATACAAAATGGAGATTACCAGTGACTCAAACCCAGGAAAAATGTAACCAGATAAGCACCATGGAAACGAGCATTTTCATTTTCCCTATATCATTATCCTCTAACATAGCAGCCACGTTGCGTGACGTTGGTCAAATGCTGGACTTTGGAGATGCTTAGTTTTTTATTGGGAGATATTACCATGATGTTGTCATATGTTCACTGAACAATTTCAGAAACTTCCAGCAGAATTTTCACTCCCATCCCTCTTTAATTATTTTCTGTCCATCCACAATAACTATCCATTGAAAGAAATCAATGCTGTGTTATTGACAATTTGTCATGCAATGACGTATATTTACACATGCCCATATAGCATGGTACGAAAGAATTGGTAAGTGTATTACAGCGTTTCACCCTTTTCCAATAGTGACAGTGCAAATACATACCTCAATAATTTTGCCAAGTATTTGTCTGAATCTCAAACTCAATGCATCAGCTTTTTTCTTCAGTAGACTGTGGCCCTTTTGTGCTCCCTTCAGACGGGCCTTCATAATAGTAAGGGCCCTGCAAAAATAAATAATGACTGACAATGAATACACACATGAAATGAAAACATTCTTGTATTATAAGCTTCACAAATGTCACTCACATGTCTGAATACTGTATAGAATTAGAAAAGTTCAATTAGACAGAAAAGATTAAAATTATCTATTAAACGTGATTTTATTCAACAAGCAATACCCATTTCTGGAAATGTGTATATATTGTGATCTCACCCTAATCTAATTGCATACCCTTATCAACTATCTGCCCTTGATAATATATCATTTGTGGCATCCTCAGTCTCAAAATAAATACAAACAACAGTTCAGTTCACACCTTTATAAAACCATTTAGTTTACAAAGGTAACATGTAGATCATTGACCATAGGGGTTGACTGCATATACACAATATATTTGTGAAATTAACTACAGAAAATCAAAAAAAATTATACTATACATGATTATAGCCATACCGATATTTTATAATTATAAATTCTCTAAATATATTTGATACTGTAACAGCGACAGACTTATAAATAGAATCACGGTACCATCATTACCTAACTTAAAGCTTTGCCATATTTGATTCGTAGAGTCAACGTACGGATCAATTTTTCTACAATTTACAATAAAATATGTAAATCAAGATATTGATAACAGATGTAAGCTGTTAGGTCTCAGTGTGGTCAGTGTGTTTTATAGCGAGAATCGATGTGCATCGGTCGGATGGCTTTGACCACGGGACCAATGACACTGAGTAGAGAGAGACGATGACATTTCGACGAATCTTTCGGATGCATGTCACTCTGAAAGGGTTCTCTAGGACTATGATAATAAACAATACACTTACATATATTATATGGATTAGATAAAATCATACTTACATCCGAGAGGGGAAAATCGCTAATCGCTCTTTATCCGACATTTTTGGTTCTGTTTGATACTCGATTCACAGTCACGTTTCTGCGCATGCTCAGTTACGTTCAGGTCAGGTGACAAAACTGGTCAAAGCGTTTGCTCATTTCAGGTGATGGAGGGCGTGCTTGCTGGTCTCCGTCGGCCCGCTTTAAGGGTTGATTCCTCCGTCACTTTTTTTACACTCAGTTTTTCATCAAGTTCTAATTGCCTATAACTAATAAATATAAAGATTAGTACTAAAGCACATGACGTTCCCTGGGTGAATTAAAATGGCTATAGAATAGAATGGAATACTTTATTATCACTGTAAAGGAAGTTTGACATTCCTTTTTTTGCATATACATGATAATGATTTGGTTAGAAAACAACTTAAATGTAAACAGAAAATGTCAAAAAATAGATTATGAAATAATACAGTTACCATGAATTTTATAAGGAATTAATATCATTTTTCATAAGAAGCATAGACGTAGGTGTTATGTTTTGATAATAATTCAAACACAGCTATGCTATATATAGTCGACAATATTAGACAATCGTTGTCCTAAGTATAAAATAGCTGGGCTTTTCGGGAAAAGGTCTTTTCCCAGTAGCATATGTGAAGATTATACGTATAATTGATTCTCGTTGTCATTGGCAACCATACACCAACAATGAACATATCCGTTATCAAGTGGAACTTAAAGGGGAACCGCTCAATCCCATGGATTGCACCAAAGAATCATGGGACACTATTGTTTTTGTTGTTTACAAAGTTAATCTATCTTTTGTTATCCATTGTAATTTTAATTCAGAAAGTAAATTTGTTGTGAGATTAGGCTTAACTGGAAGTGCCCATTTAATGAAAACCATTTTTCTGCATAGGGTGTCATAGATCAGCAAAACTATATTTAAGTCCCACTGTTGAACAAATGTAAATTTATTAGCATGGAATGCAATACACAACCTTGTAATGAATCTGAATTTATTACTGTTGACAACGTTTCCTTTGGAAACAAAAATATTACAATGTGATAAAAGTACAATCATAACATCTAGGTCGATTACACGAAAAAAAAATCATGATTCTCATAACCTCCTTGTCCAGTATGGGCCAATAGTAGAACCACGACTCCAAGGTGTAAATGGTCTTTGTTGAAAAGTGGAACAGCCTCATTGCTATAGCATTTACGTAGTAAACATCATGATCTTGTTCTAACGCCCAACATGGATACTACGTAAATGTTAGTATTGTACGATCTTCATTATCACCAGAAACCCTTTTTTGTAGATGGTTTGGAGCGGTTGGGTTCAAGTCAGATAAAACCCTTGTTCGAGAACTTGTGTAGCATATAAAGTTCGATCCGAGACTATAAGATGTCGAGGACGTAGGTCGTGGGGAGGACTTCATATACCGGAAGAGTTAAAGGTAATGTGACGACGTAAAACATCCCAGTGTATCTACGCTGTAAATCGGGGATGAAAGAGAGAATACACGGTTCAAAGTGTCGAGATAATAAACACAAAATGTGTTGTATGCAAAATATTCCTGAAATGTTGCAATCCAAAAAACTCTGACAACTTGAAAAAGTGTCGCGGTTTTCATCATATACGGGCGTAATTATGCGGACAATAAAACTTGCGGTGTTTTTAATGCAGGTACTTATAAGGTTTTAAGCTTATAAACATTGTTTAACAATACTGTTGGAATATACATCATTTGTGAAATACTTTGTGTAAAATATGTATAATTGTATATGCTCAGTCGGACCATGGTCGGACAAATAATGCTTTAGTTTCAATTCGCGTCAATCAAACGTGCAAAGGAGGTGAAATTAAACACCCTATGTTCAAGATCGGTCGTCCTTTTTCAGGTACCTGGCAATGGTCTCACTGGAATAATTTTCTCTCTTCTCATTATTATTATTTCTGCGCTCGATGACACCAGAATTCTCCGAAACAGTGACGCCGATATAAACCCGCGCATTGAATGCTGGGTATTTACACGCCAAGACGATTGCTGGTCATTTTTGTGGGATGACAGAATTCGATTATATCGCGTACCATCGAACCAGGGACGCTGTAGAAATGGAGGCGGAAGTACTCACTGGCCCAGCGGTAAGTGACATGTAAGACCAATTTGAAAGCGTGATTGATGAACTCATTTTTCTCCTCAGAGTCCTCTGTAGTTAGAACACCGAAAGTACCTCGGCTACAGTTAGATACGAGTTATTCATTATCATCATGGCGGATTGCCATGGCTACTCGTTTATTCGTTTTGAAAAGATAAGACATCGGCAGTGGAAGTAAAACTTAGTAACTGCTCTTATTTTCAGGGCTTCATTTCTCATTCACATGGATACATATATGTAAAGTGATAAATTTAACAGTATGGTTGGGTTTGTTGTCATCGGTGATGCTGATTTAATGTACGAGAGATACTCTCTCTGAAATTGTTAGGAATCGATTTCAGTCTTTGAGTATTATATGTTGAACAACACAATATAAGTTTCCGAGAGGAGCTCATAGACACAATATTTAGCTTCTGTAATAATTAGCATATCTGCATTGCTGCAGTGTTGACACTTGACCCAACACTCAGTAAGGACCCAACACACGGCACGTAAACTAATTCTATACACGTCACTTTGAGCTGTATGACACAGTACTGGTAATACACAGCAGTCAAATACTTTTATAGGCGTTCTGAATAGATAAACCGCCCAATGTATTTGAAACAATTCGCAACTAATGCCTTCTTTTCTTAGTAGACGCAAGATTACCTTTTGCTTCAAGTTGTGACCAAGTGTAAACCCAAGATAATTGTAATGTTTCACATTTTTTCACTTCTTTTTCATTTAGATGCGTTTTTAATAATGTATAAGAAAAACTGAAATATTTGTACTGATTTGGCGTTATGAAGAAATTGGCTGATCAGCACAGTCCGTCTGCCCAAACTGCCACCGTTGGTTTTCTCCACTTCGCTGCTTTTCGTACACGCACACGGAGGCAGCCAAGGTAACACTATTCCACCATTTTGAAAATGTACCACCTCTATCACTGTTACTCGCGATTTACGTTACTAAGTTCATTAATAAATAATCTGAACAGAAAATAACAGCGTACACCCTTCATGAGTACGTAACACAGGATACATTCGAATACATAGAGCGTACGCACTCAACATTTCTGTACAACGGCTCGTAGTGTAAACATTATGCAGAGAGTGTAAACGATCTAGACAGAGTCGGTACGATACTTGGCTGCCTGAACGATCGGCACGAATATGAAATTATGTTCGCCCGGATATATTGACTCGCATGACATAATGATGGAGGGAAGTGCAGCTAGCTTGTCGGGAAAGATAGGGGTCGGATGACGAAGTAAGAACACTTATCAGTAAATGGAGCCTGGAGAAAATGACATTTTGTTTCACCATAGATATTTTAAGGTCTATGGTTTCACGCCGACAGCTCAACAAGAAAGAAAAAACGTGTGCATGTGGGCGCAATTTCGACACGAGCCAAAAAGTCAAAAGTACGCCTGATGTGAGCACCGATTAACGAACCGCAACGGATACAATTACTCTGCAAACAAGAATTATACAGTGTCTCATATACTAGTATACAAGTGGTCCGCTACATGGAAATACGTCCGTTACTTGAAAATTGCTCCGCTACAATTATTCAATTTTCAAAAAAAAAAAACAGAAAAGAGCTACATGTGCATTTGTGTCAGTTATTTGTTATGATGCATTTTCAACACTACATAGAGGTATTGTGTAAAACCCGTGTGTATATTAAAAACTTGCTACACGTACAATGAAGAGTTGAAATTTAAATCCAGAGCAATGGCTTGACGTAAACACGGAGCTCTTTAACTTAAAGCGAGAGGGTCGTTACCTGCGCACGCGCGAGAATCGAGTTCCAAGCGACGATAACAACAAACGCTTAACACGCTAAAAACGCAAAGGCTCGTGGGTAGACGCTTGTTTGTAAACAATGGCACGCTATGGCCATCTGACGCATGCGCAGGTGACGACTCCCCCGCTTTAACGTTGAGAAGAAATACCTACACGTGATAATTTAGACACGTTTTGCAGTATATATTTTTCAGTGTTATTTTAATTAACACTATTGTTTAGGAGTTAAATAAAATTAAAATGGTATAGATATACACATGTTTTGCAGTTATAAGTTTATGTATTATCATCACCACCGGGGTAGGGATACATGTTTTCTGGTGGTTTTGAACGTCAGTATCACGGCTACCAACAGCACATTCACCCGGTTTGTTTCTACTATACGATAGTGCAACTTAAAGGGCGGCAGTCGTCGCGCCACGCATGCGCGAGATATATGGGTCTCATATAAACAAAGATGGCGACTTTGACTGTTGCGCAAATCAACGAGTACAAACTGAGACGTTACGAAGCTTTAATTAGGTATTATTTAGGTGGTCGGAAGGTATCGAATGAGTCACCGGCGGTAATTAGTGCAAGTCGCGCCAAGGAAAAACCTCATACTTGTGATTTCCATTAGTAGGGCGCATTGAATTGTGGGAAAATCACCGTTTATCAACAAAAATGTCGCACATGCGCAGCGCGACGACTGCCGCGCTTCTAATATATTTAGTGCTCAAGCGCCAATCTGATCTATGCGTATAACCGGTTTGGCAATCGAAATTCTGTCAGTTTTTAATTTTGTGCATTCTTGAGTATTACAAATTATTATATTTCGTATAGAAATTGTTTATTCCGAATAGTATTAAATGTAAAATAATGTAACGTGACTGAAATCTGCCTTATCATTGGTTAAAAGTTTGCTACGACTTGTTAGAACTGGACGAGTTAGCTGGGATAGGACATTAGCGCCATTGGTGGGGCTGTTTAACCAAACTCCCAAATCCGTACCTCACCATAGACCATTTGAAGGTGAAAAGTTTATTGCATTCTAGATCAAATTATGATTGAGTGTACCGCATTAT